TTTTTTTTTTTTTTTATTAGAATGTGATATGATATAGTTGTTTTTTTTTTTCTCATCCATCAGTCGGTGAATCAGGGAGGAGACCAGGAGCTGGAGAACTTGGTGACCAAGTTGGCTATTCTTAAAGATCTGCTGTCCTCCATAGAGAAGAAGGTAAATATGACACATGGTGTTAATTTTCACACACAATCAGGTCTTCTTCCTTTCTTCTTCTCACACCCTTTATTTATTTCCTGTCCGGCGTCTCACACATACTCGCGCTATTTTAAAGATGACCTAAATTTTGTGTCTGCTTCTGAAATCTGACAAATTAAGGGTTTATTAGTGCCCCGTCAGAAATTCAACGTCTCCTTTTTCAGCTTTGAAGCTAAACATTTTAAGTCAGGTTGGAGCAAAGGCTACTTTTACCAGTACAGATTTCAGACCAAAACTAAAATTGTAAGTGTTCCTTAAACTGAACCGGCTATTTTAAGTAATGGAAACTGTAAAAAAAGAAGAAGGAAAAAAAACAGCTTAATACACAAAAAAATGAGTATGTGGCCAAAATGCGGCACTAAAATGCATCATGGGAAGAAAGCAAACTAACTTACTTCCATCCTTGGTCCAACAAACCTGAATCAAATGGCTGAATTATCTCCTTAAATGAGTATAGTAATCATCTAATTACTTGATTCAGGTGTGTTGATTGAACCAAAGGCTCATCTAAAGGTTGCAGGATACTGTCCCTCAGGAACTGGAATTGCCCACCCCTGTAATAGAGGCTAGTGGAATTTTCTGCTGCCCTGTCATCTAGATGTTGCTTAATACTAATAACCCCTCTAAGCAGTATTTCCGACTATATCTGCCCAATATCAAACTGTAGTCATCATTTCATTCTAAAAATAGCATCTTTCATTAGGATGATGCTGTCTCTCACAGAGCAGCAGTAGTTCAGGAATGGTTTGAGGTGCATGATAAAAAGTTTAACTTTGTCCGTCCCAATGTGAAGAACTAACAAGTCTAAGATATTTAGCCTAATTTTGTATCTTCCTTGCTTTTAGGAACCACAGCATACATTATTGGCTCTAATCAATCTTCCTTTCTAGATCCCTGCTATACCTCAAAGTTTGCATCCAGGGCTCCACCTCATGTCCCTCCCACTTCACACCACTGGTGGCTGGTGGAGTTTTCTCCAGGGGCAGATATAAATTCAAAGTAGACCTATACCAAAAACCAATCAAACATATACGAAGTTATCACACCAGTATATTTATATGCATGCCAACAACAAAAAAAACAATATTATAAAAACACTTTATAATAACAAAAACATAATTTCTTTTTTTTCTTCCAGGTTTACTTTTTTACATGAAAAATAATGTACCAGTTTAATAATGGTGAAGCTATTTGTCAGCTTTATATTTTTTTCATATATAAAAACTATTTAGTTTCTGAGAATGTGTTTATTTAAGAGCAATTACGCAAATTAACAAACATCTAGAAAAAGTATGCTATAGTATATTATTTTCCATGTGAATCCCAGATTGTTCATTCTTCTTTGTCTTTTCTAAAAAGTGCTTTAAATCAGTCCTACCTGTCTTTATCCATGCTGTGTCAGATCCTGACATTTGAAAAAAGAGGCATGGAAAGCAGAATACAGCATTAGCCTCGCTGCATGCAGTTAGCCAAGCCTTGTAGCTAAACCATGTCCTGGAAAAAGAAAGAGTGTATCGTCATCTGTCTTTGGACTGCTGATTAATTTTGATGTTCGGCTGATCAGGTCCAAACACTTTCACCTCCAGCTTCTCTCGGTAAAGCCGGGCAGAAACTGTGTGATTTATTTTTTTTTTTTTTCCCTTTGCGGCCTCATCTTCCAGTCCTGTGAGAATTTTTCAATCGGGCCGACTCCATCTTGCGTCGTGTAGTGTTCAGGGGACAAAGAGTGGTGGTCAGCCTCCCACGACCACCCTCCGATCAGGAATCATAAGGTTGGGAGAAAATCAAACATGTTTGAAATTCAGTCGGCCGTCCTGGCCAAATTGCTCGGTGTGCAAACAAGGATTCTTCTTCTTCAGCTGAAAACACAGAAGCATGGCGAAGGTACGAGTGAAATTGATTAAAAATTTCAGGCCCTGCTTGATAAATGGGAGCCCAAAAGAGAGAAAAAGGGGATTAAAAAAACAACTATCCAGGTGGTAATAATATTATGGCTTGTTGGTTTTAATCTGGGATTTCTAATAGACATAAAAAGAGCTCCTCCACTGATTTAAAATATGATTTTTTAAATATGTGTGTGAATTTGATGGTTTTTGAAGGATTTTGCGTGTAAAAAGATGGATTAGATGTTGTCATAGTCTCAGTGGTTCAGGCCAGGACTCCACAGATGGGTTTTGTCTGCGTCTGAAACCTGTCTGAATACTGAGCTCTCACTGTGGTGTAACAGTAACCACAAGACATGATTTAAAGGCCGTGGATTACAAGGCTTCTTGTTGAACATGTTTGACATTATCTTCACTGGGAAGCCCCTTTAATTTGTCAGTTTAGCGAACAAAAAGAGATCCTCTATTCCATCCAGCTCCAGAGGCCAGCTCTGGATCAGGTTCATGTTAGGTTTGCAGTCATCGTTTAAATAAGCAAGTTATTATTATTACAACCCATTCTTGGATTCTGACATCTGGGAGAAAAAGATAGAGGAGGTTTTTTTAGGTCATGAAGGGGGGCACGAACTAAACTGTTCAATCTGTAAGGTCAGTTTTTTACCTCTGTTCAAAGATACTATTGAATTTGTCTCTACTTTGTCAGGGATATAATTGCATCAGTATGCTTGGATCTAAGCTGTTTATCCCAGTCCTAGATGCACGTTTAGTTTAATTATCCTTCAGGGGTACAATTTTCACCTTGAAATCACAAGGAGTGTTTGTTCAGAATGATAAACTGTGTTTTCTGGATGGGGCCGCCTTTTACAGCTGCTTTTTGTGTCTCTGATTCTGTCGCCTTGAACCCCAGTCGGCCTCTGCAGATGGCCGCTCACACTGAGCCTGGTTCTGCTGGAGGTTTCTTCCTGTTAAAAGGGAGTTTCTCCTCTCCACTGTCGCTACAAGCATGCTTAGTGTGAGGGATTGCCTTCGAGTCAATGAGTCGATGCAATGAACTGGTGTTCCTTTGATAGAAAACTTTGAATAATTTTTACTGGATGATCTGGTTGAACTGTAAAGTGTCTTGAGATGACGTGTTGTGAATTGGCACTAAATAAATAAACTGAATTGAATTGAGTTGTGTTACTTTTCCACCTTTTAAAGCTTTTTCACATGTAGATTCACATGTAGATTCACATGTAGATTTCTCACTGATTTTTGAGAAATTGCTCACTGGAAGAGTCCTGACTTCAGCAATGGTGTTCTCTTTCCCTCTATTTGAAGGCCTGATCTTTGCTTTTGGCTAGACTGGTTCCAACTTCCATCTCTTCCAAAGTAGCCATGGTCCTCTCCATTGCTTTTCTGATCAATGCTGTCGTTTTCTGGCTGATCAGATTGGATACGCTGCTATGTCTTGTTAGCAAGGGTGTAACTTTGTAATGAAAGTTGGTGGGAAACTCGGGTTTTGGCTGATGGACCTACAGTTACTGAACCCAAACGCTTTCATTAGTTTTTTTTTGTTTTTTTTCCAAAAATGAGCTCAAACATATATTTATTGAATGCTTTCCTATTGTTGAGAACACAAGAGAACCATAAAACACTGATATTTATATTTATAGATGGTTAGAGAGATGCCTTTTAGTGCATTATATATCGCACCCAACAACATTAATTAATAATAAATAAAAAAAATTAATAACAGCTGATTCCGATGTCAAAATAAATATTTCCTGCATCCCCAGAATGTACAATTTCAATTCCATCCAGAAAAATATGGATATGCTGCATTTTAAATATAGCATATTTTATTCTTGTAAACTTTCTGGTAAACTTGGAGATATACAGGTGCTGGTCATAAAATTAGAATATCATGAAAAAGTAGA